CTCTCACTCCCCGTAGAGGGTAGAGGGGGATCGCCTCCCACCCTGGAGTCTCCGATCCCGGCCCGATTTTATCTTCCCCGGTTCGCACTCACGTTAGAAGGCTCTCTCAGTGGATTCTGCGTCTTTTTTCTCCCAATCTCTCAGGCTTTGTAAGGTTTCCAATGGCTTTAGATCTTTTCTGTGTGATGTATGGGCGCGAGTGCAAGTGCGGAGCTCCTTACTTCTCTGCCATCTTGCCCTCTCTCATGATTTGTCTATTTTTAAAAATACTTTTCAAAAACCAGCTTTTATTTTCATTGATCTCTGCTATTGTCTTTTTAGTCTCTATGCCATTCCTTTCTGCTCTAATCTTTGTTATTTTCTTCCTTTTACTAACTTTGGGTTTAATGTGCTGTTCTTTTCCAGTTCCTTGAGGTGTGAATTTGGTTATTATTTAAGATCTTTATTTTTTTTAGTGTGAGCATTTATCACTATAAACATCCCACTTAGAACTACTTTTGCTGCATCCCATAAATTTTGGTATTTGTGTTTCCGTTTTCATTTGTCTCAAGATGTTTATTATTTCTCCTTTGACACATGGGTTATTCAAGGGCATGTTTAATCTCCATGTATTTGTGCATTTTCCACTTTATTTCTTGTACTTTCTAATTTCATACAATAGTGGTTGAAAAAGATGCATGATATAATTTCAGTCTTCTTAAATTCATTAAGATTTGTTTTGAGACCTAACACATGATCTACTCTGAAGAATGTTCCATGTGCACTTGAGAATAATGTGTTTTCTCCTGCTATTGAATGGAATGTTATGCAAATATCTATTATGTCCATCTGGTCTAATATGTAGCTTAAAGCTGATGTTCCCTTTTTGATGTTCTATCTGGATGGTCTATCCATGATGGAAAGTGAGGTATTGAAGTCCCCTCCTATCACTGAACTACTGTCTATTTCTCCTTTCAGATCTGTTAATGTTTGCTTGATATGTGTAGTTGTTCCTATGTTGGGTGCATAACTATTTTGATTAATTGATCCCTTTGTCATTATATAATGCCCTTCTTTGTCTCTTGTTACAGTCTGGCTTAGAGAGTAGACCTACTCTATCTGATATAAATATAATTACCCTAGGTTTCTTTTGGGTTTCCATTTGTATGAAATATCTTTTTCCATCCCTTGACTTTCAGTATAGGTGTCCTTAATGTCGAAGTGAGTCACTTGTAGGCAGCATATAGTTGTGTTGGGTTTTTTTTTTTTTTTTTTTAAATCTATTAAACCACTCTGTGTCTTTTGATTGGCCACTTGGCCAATCAGACATGAGATCAAGTGATTGTTCATCATGCTGCAGTGAGTTTTGGGATAGAACACACTTTGACAAATACCCTGTACTTTAATTAAAGTTTAACATTTCCTGTACAAAGGAAATAAATGATAATGTATTATTATAAACTTGCCTGCTTAGATAAATAAAGACACACAATGGGAATTTTAAAAGACTTGGTTGAAACCTTGAATTATTAGTTGTCTCTTTTCTTTTGTTTCCCTGGTACTATTTGGCACATGCCCCTCCTCTCTGTCTTAGTCTCTGTAGTTAAAAGGGAGAATTCTATAGCCTTAAATTGGGCATGGATTTTTATGAATTTATTTTGTAATTCTTTTTGTTCTTCTGTAGCCCTGTCATTTGGTGCCCATGGATTTGGGGAGAAAATTGGCCCAAACGTCAACACTGTCATAAAGAGCAGAGTGGGGATAGGTGAGAAGGTTGAGAAGACCTTGTATTTTGTTGTTCCCTAAGGCAATGGAGCTGGTCCTTAGAGTCTAATTTGACAGGCCATGGAAAAGTACTTTCTTACTAATGGATTTGATCCTTTAAATTTCATCCCAGGACAGATTCCCCTTGGAAATGTGTCCCTTTCAGTGAGCATCAAAGTATAAAGATTAAAGGTCTAGATGGGACTAGAAAGGAATTTGGCATTTTGCCATCTTATACAATAGGGCTTCTCAAAATATGGGTTCTCTTAGGTCTTTTCAGGATGTCCATATTGACATCTGCACTGACGGCACAAAAACAGTGGTGAACAAAACTATTAGAATCTGAGTTTGAATAAAGGTAGTCCCACCAAATCACACTAGTCATCTCCATCATTAGATACTTGGACCTAAACACACACACACATACATGCTTGGGAGTAGGCTAGATTCACATAAGAATGTCCTTGAAGCAGTTAAATTTATTAATTTTATTGGTTCTTGACCCTTAAGCATACATCTTTTTTTTTAAGTAGGCTCCATGCCCAGGGTGAGCCTTGAACTCATGGCCCAGAGATCAAGAGTTCATACTCTACCAACTGAGCCAGCCAGGTACCCCTACACATCTTTTTAATATTTTTTATGATGAAATGTAAAATACACATAACATGAGTCTAAGGCTACTGAAGAATGATGATTGTCTCAGGGAAAAATGCTTTTGTGATTGAATTGTAAGGTGAACTAGTCGCTTTTTCATTGGAACTGATTTTTTCTTGAAAAAACCACCAACAGATGAACTATGGTTATTTAGACTTTAGGTCTAGCAAACATTTTCTCAAAAAAAAAAAAAAAAAGGGAGGGGATAAAGTAAGCCTACCTCTTCAAGGAAAACAGCTAACAGTATTTGTTGCCAATGATAAAATTTAAGCTTATAAATGAAAAATGAGAATTTTGGAAAACTTTTATTTGTCATTATGAGCTTGGGAGCAGTTCCAATACATAGCAACTTTACTTGTGAGATTTGTGATATTAGCAAATGTGGTGTGTTTTAATTCTATAATGAAAGTGTCATGATGTGGAAGAGGTAATTCAGCGATCCCATGCTTTTTAGATGACCAATGCATGATGTTTCCAAATCACAAAGGGTAAAAAGATCCGTTCAAAATACACCATAGAACACTGGATCTTAATGTAATAGAGTGTAAAAAGTGTGTTGGTGTGGCTTCACATTCCACTCTGTAACTAACCTTTAAGGAATGACATGTATTGCATTTAATGAATATCCACAAAGAAGAATACATTCAGAAGCAAATACGAGAATGTACCTCTCTTCTGCTAAGCCAAAGATCAAAGAGACTTGCAAAAATGCAAATTAAGACAACTCTTCTTGCTAAATTGGCTTTGTTTCAGAACATACTGTTATGGTAATAAAAATATGTTATTTATGTTACATGTAATGGATTTACTGCTGTTATCTTTAAATGAACTAATACATAAATTTGAATTTTCTGGTTTTTTTTAAAGTGGTAATTATCCATAGAGAGAAGCCCCATAAATATGGGAGACTCCATCATTTTTTAAGAATGTGAGTGGGTCCTGAGACCAAAAAGTTTGAGAACCATTGTTGTAAACCATACTTGTGACTTTCAAGTGGGTAATTGAGGCCATGATAGGTGATGTGACTCATCCACGGAGCGGCAACTGTGACTAAATCATATCTCTGCAAACCACTGTTCTGCTGTTTTCACTGCTGGCATATTTGTTTTCCCATACTAGTCACTACATGACTACCTGCGTGTGAATAAGCTATCAGAAACTCCTGTGAGAAAGCAGATGGGAATAGGTTCTGATGGAAGTCGGCCGAGACAGGGTTTTCTCAGAGCCTGGGAATGGGAAGCTGGGTGGGAGGCCAAATAGCCTCTTTCAGACACTCGGTGCCTCCATGTGGAGAGATGTGTGCCGAGGGGAGCGAGGAGGGTACAAGTGGGGAAGAACATTACCTCTTTCGTACTTTATGCTTCTTGTTCTTAAATACATTGAGCTTTTTCTTTACCCCTTGACTTTTCCTCCAGGGAGTTTGCCCGTTGGAAGGTAAACAACTTGGCTCTGGAGAGGAGGGACTTCTTCAGTTTGCCATTGCCGCTTGCCCCAGAATTTATCCGGAACATCCGCCTCCTCGGAAGGAGACCCAACCTACAACAGGTTACTGAAAACCTGATCAAAAAGTACGGCACTCATTTCTTGCTTTCTGCCACCCTTGGAGGTAAGCAACATCATGACCGCACACTAAGTGGCAGTCAGATCACTGAAAATAGCTTTAAGACCCAAGGGGCATAGCTTGACTCTTCCTCGTTCTTTGTTCTTCCTTGCCTGTTATTGGCTGAGAAATATTTTTCTTTCTGGTGCCTTTGAGAACAGTATAACCTCTTGACATCCAGCTTCAGCCCAGAACATTACTATTTGCTTATAAGCATCCTCCTGAGGAGGGGGTGTGGGGTAAGGAGGTTGGGGGACTGACAGGCTCCTACTAAGCACTTGCCAGCAGGGGGCGCTCCCAGTTTTCTTTTGACAGAGCTTTCTCACCCAGAGGCTTCTCCATATCCTAAGATTTGCTGTGGCTATAGTTGTCAGACCCATGGGCAAGAAAGCAAATGTCCCCTGGGTCCCTGACCCCTGCTTACCTCTCTAAAGACTGGTAACTGCCCAAACCAATTCTAGTGATTCTGGGCTGGATAGGGACAAGGTTGGGAGTGGGGATGGTGTACCTGTGGCCAAATCAAAAGCTCTGAAGATTCAGGGTTCTCTCTGCCCTGGGAAGAAGAAAGCAAGATTTATTATAACATTTAGCTCGCTATCTGATGGGCAAAAAGGATCTCTCTGAGGGTTCGGGGCAGCTGCCAGCATGTGGTCGGTGCTGAGTGTTTGATGGGGAAGAGGGCGGGTGAGCTTCAAGGCTTTTGCCCTTTCTGAGGGAGCAGAAATATCCAGGGTGACTTCTCATAAACAACTTGAGAGAGAAAATTTTATCTCCCCCATAGAGGTATCGCCTGAGACTGAGATCAATAAAGGATGTTAAATGGGTAGGCTGGAGGGGAGGGGATGAGCTATGGGGCAGTTAAAGAATGAAGGAAAAGGAGGAAGGCCTCTCAGGCAGGGACGCCTGGCACCCTGTGCCCTGTCTAATGAGATTGTTCTAAAGATGGTGACGGGGAAAGAGGGCATCTGCAGGGCCAGACTCGTGAGCTCTGACTGTTCTGGCCCCAGGTTTCATGTTCTCATTGGTAGGGGATTCAGAAGGCCTCACCAGTGGACCCATGTCATTTGCTTTAGGGGAAGAGTCCCTAACCATTTTTGTGGACAAGCGGAAACTGAGCCGCAAGACAGAGACAGCAGGAAGTGCCCCTGCCATTGGGGGCGGTGGGAACAGCTCTGCCGTGTCCCTGGAGACCCTACACCAACTGGCAGCCTCCTACTTCATCGACAGAGAGAGCACACTGAGGCGGCTGCACCATATCCAGATAGCCACAGGGGCCATCAAGGTAACCACCTGCGATGTACTGGGAGAGGGGGGGCAGACAGGCAGAGAGAAACCAAGAGGGAGCCTAGAGTCTTAGCCTGCTCCAAGCCAGTTAGGCCTGACTGATGGACATGGGAAAGCAGCTTTCTGAGATTAGGCACAACCGTCCCTATGACCCAGGTCTTCACTTGCACAGCAAATAGTCATGTAGCTTCTACTGTGAGGCAGTCTCCAGCCAACAGACTTGGTAGAAAGGTAGACAGGGTCCTTATTTGGCAGATGTTATGTTCTAGTGAGGGATGAGGTCAAAGCAAAGTCATTTTAGATAAAAATGGAAAGAAAAGACAAAGTCATAAGGTAGATTTCCTGGGGTGAGGGAAAGGAACAGCTAATATTAGCCAGATTGGTCTGGGGAGGGAACTTTGGGTTTAAACGTTGAGGCTGACATCTGAATGATCTGAGGGAAGAGTATTCAGACAGCAAGCACAGGAAGTGCTAGGGCCCTGAGACAGCAACCGGCTTGGTGCCTTGGAATACAGAGAAGACTGTTGTGATGACAGTAAGGTGAATAAGATGACACTGGTAGAAGATGAGGTTCAGAAGTAGACTGGACCCAGATCACATGGCCATGATGAGGATTTTAATATGTCAAAGTGTAATGGAAAACACCCAGAGAGTTTTAAGCAGAGGGGTGATATCCCATGCATGTTGGAAAATGATCAAAAGTTACCACAACATTAATTATCATAACCTTCATCCTGTCTTCTCTACTTATATCTAGTAGAATTCTAGGAAACTTCATACTGAAATAGGGAAGAGAAGGGCAATGACAATACTTGAGAATGCTGGATTATTTTTATTCTAAATATAAAGTTAAGGTGGCGAGTAGTGGTCAGTCTTATCACACCCCAAATTTAGAAAGTTTTGGTCATTTATTTATTGGTTCAGTAGATATTTATCGAACTCCTATTATGTGCCAGGTACTGCTCTGGGTACTGAGAATCCCAGAGTGAATCACACATATAAAGTCCCTGCCCTCATGAAGCTTAAATTCTAGTGGTGGAGACATAATGAATTAAATATATAATGTCAGGTGGGATGAATGGTATGAAGAAATAGGATAGAGAGGGCAACAGGATAGAGAGGGATGGGAACACCACACTTTAGGGAAGACCTGTGTGAAAAAATGTCATTTAATCAGAGATGTGAATGAAGGGAGGGAGGGAGGGAGCCACATGGGTATCTTGAGTGAGAGCACGTGCAATTGCCCTGAAGTGGCAGTGAGCATGTTACAATCTAGAAACACTGCGTAATATAGCTGGGGTGCAGTCAGAAGAAGGCCATAGAGAAAATTTTATTCCCCCCCTAACCCCCCCCCCACTGGTGGTAGATTGCCTGATACAGAGATCAATAAAGGATGTTAAAATCATGAGGGCATTACTGATCAGGGAAGAGAGGAGAAAGGGATCCTGGAGACTGATGCAATGACTATTGCAGTGGTCAGGGGAAGAAATAATGGGTTCTTGCTCAGACAAAGCTGGGTCTGTAGAGGTAGGTAGTGAGAAGTTGGCAGATGCAGGATATATTTTGATGGTAGAGCCTACAGGCTTAGCTAATAAATTAGAAGAAAGGAATCAAGATTAATTGCAAGATTTTTGGCATGAGCAGTGAGATGAACAGTGATTGCGTTTACTGAGAAGGACAACACTGGGGGAGGTGCCATTCTGAAAGAAGCAAATCAAGAGCTTGGTTTTAGACACAGTGAACTTGACATCCAAGTAGAGGTATTAACAGGCAGTTGAATATAAACACCAGGATTCAGAGAGAAAGATCAGGATTGAAGATGTAAATTTGGCATACAAACATATACACACGTGTTGTTGGTATTTAGTATCAGGGGAAAGGATGAGGTGAGATCACTTGAGGAGTGGATGTAGCTGGTAGAGCAGTCCTAAGGCTGAGTTGTGCAGCACATCAATATTCAGGAATGGGGAAGAGGAGAGGATCCAACAGAGAAGGCTGATACCAGGCAGAAAGGTATGAAGAGAACCAAAGTCCTATCACAAGACCATGTGAAGCAAGTGTTTCATAGAAGAAGGAGCAGGCAGCTGTGTTAGATGCTGTTGAACAGAGAATGGACCTTCAACCTGGCAACATGGATGTAACTAGCAACCTAGATAAGAGTGGTTTTGGAGTCATGACAGGGACAAAAGACTGAGTGCAGAAGGTTCAAGAGAGAAAACAAAGTGAGGAATCGATGGAGTAGAGACAATTCTTTAAGAGTTTTGCTGTAAAGGCAAACTGAAAAAAATGGGTGATCACTGGAGAGTGTCGTAAGGTCAAGAGAGGTGGAATTTTTGTTTTTGAGACGGGAGATAGTCAAGAATCTTGGCATGTTGATTGAAATGATTCAGGAGAGAGGGAGAAAATGATGCAGGAGTGATGGGAGACAGTTGCAAAAACAATTGGGCAGGTGGGAGGAGTGGCTCTTACATAGGAGCATAAATATCTCATCCTTTGTAGTAGGAGGCATTCAAGTGCACAGGACACATGCAGTAGGATGAAGACGTGGTGGTGGTGGGGGGGGGGTGCAGATGTCCTGACTGATCCTATTTCCTCGATTCCACAAGAAGCAGGGTTCTTGGCTAAAAGGAAGAAGAAGGAATTACTGAGAAAAGAAGGTAGTAGATAGTTTCCTAAGAGTAGGAGTTAGGTATTTTAATGGACTAGATAAGTGTCGTGGGTTGTCAGGCAGCACTGAGTGCCCCATTTGTGACCTATAGGCATAATTATAACATGGGACCAACCAGCATAGCTGCGAGTTTTATCAGCTACATTTGGTACTTCAAGTACAGGCAGGCATGGAGTAGGTGGAGAGTTGGATTGAACAGAAATGTGTGTGTGTGTGTGTGTGTGTGTGTGTGTGTACAAGATAAAAAGCAGGGGAGTTGAGAGTATACATAAAGCTGTGATTATAGTGATGGACCAAGGGATTTGAGATCATTAGGATGTGAAAAGTTGGTTAGGTCAAAAGATTGGAAGTTGAAGTACATTTGAGACTGGAGAGAGTGCAATTAGTGAAACATATCAGGCTCTGGACTTGGCCATGAGTGTGGGTGGCTAAGGTGGGGCTGGAGGACAAGACGAATGGAGAGGGGAGAAGGCTAGGGGCCGGGGAGGCCAGGGTATTCAAAGGGTTTTCTACATGGCTGCTGAGGTCAACAGGAGAGATGCAGACCTTGTGGTGATAACAGAGACAGTGGAAAGCAAGCTTAATGCTGGAAATTCTCAACGAGTGAAGGGGACTAACAAGAAAAATAGACAGTTGGAGAAGAATTGGTCTTCTCTGGAAATGAAAGGTGCAACAACTCAAAGGTCCCATTAATGTTCCTACCTATCCTTTGACCTGACCAACTTTTCATTTTCTACCCTGCTTCATGGCCTTCTTTGTCTCACTGCCTTAGACTTCATGGTCTTCCACTGTAATCGCTGCACTGGATAGGTCTTTAACTTGCCCCTCACTGCCTCCTCATGGCCATGCTCTCCCCTGAATTCAGGACCTCATCAACTCTTGCCCAGTTTTCTTCCATTATCTTTTCAACTAGTCTTTCCATCTCCATTCTCAGCTCTTCTCCCTTATTCACCCTCTCTGTTGCATGCATGAGTGCAAAGCATCACCCTATTTAAAGCACTGTGCCCCAGCCACGGTGGCAGTGTGACAATGGAAAGAACATAAGATCGAGCCCAGGAGTCTTTGCTGTGCCACTGCTCCTGGCAGGCTGTGAACAGGTACCTAACTACTCTGAATCTCAGGTTTCTCATCCTTAAAACTGTCCAATAATTAATATATTTTTCACCTTGAAGGATTTTGGTGAGGATCAAATAAAAATATTAGAGAGAATGCATGAGCCACAGCACAAATGGAGTTTGAGAAAGAATAATTCCTCATCTTAACAAAGCTGGAAAGCCATTGAAGATTACCCCTAGTGTTCTTTTGTCTCTTCTCAACGTGTTTTCCCCATCAACACTTCACTTACAATTTCTATCATGTAGGCCCGTCCTGTTAGTCTTTAAAAAAAAAAAAAGTTTATTATTTTGAGAGAGAGAAGGGGGCAGGGAGAATGAGTGGGGGGTGGGCAGAGAAAAAGAAGAGAAGAGAGAGAATTCCAAGCAGGCTCCACACTGTCAGTGCAGAGCCAGATGTGGGGCTTGACCCCACAAACTGTGAGATCACAGTTCAAAATCAAGAGTCAGACTCTTGACCAACTGAGCCACCCAGGCACCCCACTATAAGTCTTTATTCAAAGCACCTGTTTGCTTTGCTTGTCTGTTTACCTAAGTGTCTCTCCCTCACCCTTCTTTGCTCAAGTCAAAAAGGCTACTCTTTTGGGAAGCCTTTCCTGACTCCCAAGGTAGTTAAATGCTCCCCTCTGGTGTATCAAGCACATGCCTTTTTTAGAGGGCTAATCATTTGAACTATATTTGCTAGCTAACATAAGGTCCTTAGGGGAGGGACTGGTTCTTATACATCTTTGGTTCCCAGTAAAAGTACAGAGCCTATTCTATTATGGGTGATGAGTAAAGGTTTGTTGACTGACTGAGTCACTGACCCTGTTTTACACATAGGTTAGGCTCTTTTCAGTGTGTGTACAAGGGCATATAAACATGTTTAGTTGAAAGAAACAAAGCTACTCCAGGTCACTTGAGCATAAAGATGGTTTATAAAGAGGACTATGGCAAAGAATATCACAGATCTCCAAGGATAAGATACTAAATGTATTCCAGGCACATGGGTCTTACAAAAGGGCAATAAGACTCCTAGGTTACCCCATTTCTTGTTGGAATACAGGTCATCTATTTTTTTCCATCTTCTTCACCTTCTAGCTTCTCTTCCAAGTTGTTTCCTTTATTTTTTTTCTAGACCTTTCTGTACACCAATGACATCAGCTTATATTTAGCTCTGCCTTGTTCTGGAGCTGACTGTGGCCCAGACTGAACACTATCTTTCTGTTTTCTCTCTCAGCTGGTGCCATTGGGGCAGGGGCCACTCTTGTTCATTGCTGTATTCTCAGTTTCTGGCACTTAGCAATGCTTGATAATTATTTATTCTGAATTTTAAGGGTGTTCACCATCACCCTTTAAATTTTTTCTCTCAGTACCACAGTTCTAACTTCTCTGGAGGAAATTTTTGTTCAGGGTCCACTTTAAGCCAATATAGAGTCCAATACATAGTCTCAAATATGGCTTCCTGGACTCATCTCTTTGGCAAAGTCTGCAGGTGGTAAAGTGAGAGACAGGAAGCTAGTCAATGCACTTTCCAGAACTAGAGCCACTGCCCATCTCCCCAGAAGTGGGGCCGCCATACTTGGAAGGCTCTTTTTGGAACATGAGATAATTCATCTTCCACTGAGCGGATTAACCTGGAGTTTCTGTTGAGGAGTTCAATGTGCTCTTTCCATGGGATGCAATTCAGAGACATGGGAAAACAGGATTTTCTCCTCCCTCCACTCCTCCACGTCCTCATCCTCATGTAGCTTAGTGGGCTCTAGAGAACCATGTGACCTGTCCAGGAACACACTGCTAGACTAAGGAGCACTGGGAGGTCTTGGCACCTTATCCTACCACATGCTCACCTGATAGGGTGAACTGCTCATTTTATCCTACTGTGAAGTGTTCCTCCAGAGACCATTTCTTTGCTCGATCATGCTTTTACAGATCCACACAGCAAGGGCCAGTAGGCTAGACGCATCCCACAGCGCGTCCCTGCTAGCTGACGCTCCTTTGTTGGGGCTGCAGCCCCTATCACCCACTTCCCTCTACTGAACATGCCTTTGCAGCAGTAGAGCTGGCTTCCAGCACTGTCGTTACTCTGCAACAAGGTGGGTGGCATGGGGTTCTGCTCACCTGCTCAGCCTTGGTGAAGGGAAAATCCTGCAACCTGTCTGCCTATTCTTATGTCTCTACTTTTTCCCCCTTGTTAGCCACCTCTTTTCACTAACATGGAGAGAGAAGCATCTTGTTCCCTTTGGTTTATCTGACATGTTCCTCTGAGACCCCACTGAACATCTCACTCTGCTGTAAGGTTTACCCTCATCACTGCATACCTCCAGTGTAGGATTTGTCACATTACGTTCCAGCTGTGCGCATCCCCACGGCCACCTTCCCACACCCACAGGGATGGCAGGAGGGTTTGGAGCAGTAGGGCCTCTGTAGTTTGCACACCCTTCCTTCACAGTGGTGGGCATGTGGTGAGGCACTCAATAAAATGCTAGGTAGGTGAAGGTGGGCTGCCCGGTTTAGTGGGAAACAACCTTGCTCAAGGGAGAAGGCATGGGATCAAGTTTCAGTCTTGGTGCTCACCATTTCTCTGACCTTGTGAAGTCAATGAACCCCAAGACATGAGATTACCAGCTATTTGGCTAACATGTACCCAGGGCTTACCTTCAGCTGACAGGGCTACACCAGCTATTAGAATATTAAACCACTTCCATGCCAGCAGGTAAATAGTCTTCATGCAATCACCTGGATGCCATTGTAACCGCCCCATCCCTCCCTTGGAGGCCCCAGATCTCCCCTTGATGGAAACCAAATGGTGAATGGACCTCGGCAGGTCTCCAGAATGCTGCTAGTGCCGCTGCTGGCACCTCTTCTGATCAGTCCTCACACTCCTGTCTTACCCGCTGATTAATACTGTGAATCCCACCCCTGTCTCTGCCATGTGGTAGGGATGACACCCAATGACACAGTTCACATGGAAACCCTTCGCAAACTGTAAAGGGCCGAACATATACACCGCACCTCCTGTCCGTGATGCCTGGGAAGGGATCAGAGCCGTTAAGCAGAGAAGCCTGTTCTCATTTTCAGCTTGCCCTCTACTTAATCGAAGTCTGGGGAAGGACTTGGTTTGATATGTTCCAGAGCTTACTGAAAAGAGCCCACACAAAAGTTCAGGTGGGTCCCAGGATGGCAAAAAGGAGTGGTTTTCACAAAGCATCCTTAACAAGACTTGTCTGAATTCCTCAGTGCCCAGCCTGGGATTCAATCTGCAGCTCTTTTAAGCACACACACCATCAGCTGTGCTCACCCTGCCCCGCCCTATTGCTCACAATTAGAAGCCCATTTCTGTCCCTCTTAGCTTTGTAGGTGTGCCCCTAGGTAAGACAAGAGCAGCAGGGAGGCAATGGGCGGTGTGGGGGAGAGCAGGCTCACTGGAATGAGTGTTCACACGATCTAGTATTTATGGAAAATTGGATGTGCTAATGAACCTGAGATCCATCAGGGCTTTCTGAAGGCAGGACAGTCTCTGTCAACAGACCAATTAGCACACAATTATTTTCCCTTTTTGAAAGCTTATCTGAGGTGCTCTTTGAATGTGTGCGCCTGAGTGAACTGCACTTTCCATTACCTCTTTGGGCCTTTTTTTGTAATCTGCCAAAGCTGTCTGCCTCTGCTAGAGAAAGCACAGGGTTCTCTGGACTAACCCTCCAGAGACTCTGGTACTTCCATCACTCGGGGGAAGGGGCCTTCCGGCAATCCTGCTTATCAAGTCGGTGCCCAGGCCTTATCTGTAAGAGGACCCTCTCCAGTTCCCTTTCTCCTTCCCATCTCCTTGTATCTTTAAGGATGACAGAGGTGATTCAAGGCAGAATAGCAGTGGACAGAGCAATGGCATTGGGACCTGATGCAATCTGAGCACCTTCCTACTCTTGGAGATCTGGCTTGCCCCCTTCCCTCTAAGGAAATGAGCGTGCGGCTCACAGTCTGTCTCTTCTTCATGCCAGTCCTCATGCCGCAATTAACAAAGGGAAGCCACCCACATCCTTTCAAGGGCTTATCTATTTGATTGTCCTCTTGTGGAACTGACCTTTGGGATTAGCCAAGTAAAGGTCAGAAAACCGCACCAGAGCCAGGCCCAGAATACCACACAATATGGCGGTGGTGGTGGGGGAGCAGACGGACTGGTGCTACGCGGGTAGGGACCGTGGTGAGGTAAAGGAGAAGACAGTGGCTGTTCTCTGTTATTCATCCTTCTTCAGGGGTCATCCTACTCCTACATAAGGCATGTAGCTCCCTCCCTCCCTGAACTTGATGCTGGTGAGCAACCAACTCGGGGATGGGTGGATGGAAAAGCCAGTGCAAAACTCAGTGGCGGTGTGGCCAGATTAGCTGGAGGAGGGGACAAGCAAGTATCCTAAAGACCACAACCACCCGCCATCCCACCCTGCCACTCAGTCCCCCACATTCCAGAAGGCCTGGGCTAGTCCTCAGACACGGCTCCTCTTACAGGGATGTTTATACCACAGAGATAAAGATGACTTCGCCTGGAAAGACACCTGGCTCTGCCTCCCCGCTGCAGTGGGACAGCTAGCCAATCACCCGCTCACTCTGCACAGAGATGGTTTTCAGCACCTGGTGCCCACCTGTGGGATCAGAGAAACATGTTCTACTTGTCTGGAAACTCCTTATGGCAGTGACTGTGTCTGACTCACTCAGTGTGAGTTCTGGATGCTCCTTGCATACTTGTTAAATGAATAAATGAATGAATGAAAAAGTGTATGAACGAGTTGAATGAATCCTCGCCCAGCAGGTAACTAGCTGTGTGACCTTGAATAAATCACTTAACTCATCAGGCCAAGGTCTCCCCATCTGTAATATCAGGATACTATGCTTTCAAGTCTAAGGCAGATCCCTAAGCTATTTTGGATGAACTGCTTTGTTTACACTTGTTTTTAGAAGTGATGTCATCCAAAGGGGCTTAACTCACTCTATTTTCTGCAGTTCTCTAATGTGCCCTCACAGGGGACAGGAGGACACTGACTGGAGTCCTAGGATTCAAACAATAAGATCCTGTGTCAGCTGCTATGGCTCTGTGGCCTGGCACACTGTAACTCTTGGAACCTGGGTCTGCTTCCTTGGAGAGTGAGAGCAGTGAGACTTCTGGGAGTTTGTGTGAGGGTTAAGGGGATGGTCCTGGAGGATGAACTTGGCAACTGTAGAGAGGCTGTTGCTGCCCCTGTCATGACCTTGGCCCCATTCTTTACTCAGGCTGGATTCTGCTGCTCCGTGCATCATGTGTAAGGCTACCCCTTCTTCTTTGTCTGCAGTTACCCCCCTTTTCTCCTCATTCTCTCTGCCTTCCTTCCCCTCCATCCCCGTTCATTTTTCATGGCTCACCTCTTCCATGAAGCCTTCTCAGACTACTTTATCTTGCAAGGCTCTCTCCCTATTGTACTTCTAGTCAGTATCAAACCATCTCTCATGGAATTACTCTGTTCCATGAGTATTTTTGAAAACTAAATATACTAAGTTCTCTTTAAAAAATGTCATTTACACTTTGCTCTTCACCTGGTGACTTCACCCTGGTAACTTGTAGGGCACTAGACACGTATACTATGCACTTTGGAGCCTATGTGTTGTGGCCCATGGTAACCCTTCTCCTTTCTCTCCGTGTGCTTTCCTTCCCTTTCCCTTTGCACTTATCTTTATTATTTTATTTTATATTAATTCCAGTATAGCTAACATACAGTATCATGTTAGTTCCAGGTGTACAATAGTGATTCAACAAGACTTCTACTTACCTTTAAGGACCAGCTCAGTTGAGTCTCCTCTGCTCCTTCTTCCCTTGTGTTCCCTTTGCTCAGAGGGAAGGGAACTTTTTCCTCAGCACCCACTGACACGTGGCTTCAGCTCCCCTTGGATTCATCTCTGCCAGTTGCATGTGCACCTGCCTTCCTCACAGGTTGTTTCCTGGAGGACATGGCATATAACTCGTGCATCTCTGTGCTCATCCCTCCACCACCCCCCCAAAGCCTGGAACATACTACACATTCTCTAACGTATTAAGTATCCACGGTCTGCCAGGCACGGTGTGAATCGCTGTTGGCAACATGGTGAACAAAATAAATACAGGCTTACTGCTGTGGAGCCTCTGGTGTGTGGAGGACCCAGACGCTCACCCCACGTTCTCAGAAAAGGATGGAAAACTGCAACTCGTGTGCCTGCTGCAGGGCAGAGGTGTTTGGAGTCGGGGCAGGTCAGCGGTACCAGGGCCGACTCCTTGCACAACTCCAGGAAAGGCGTTCTGTGAATGCTTGATGAATTGTATGGAATTGAACAGTGGCTGCTCAATAAATACTCGTTGATTGGTTGATTGATTGTTGGCAAAGCTTTCGGGGATCCTGAGAAGAAAGGGCCGCAGGTCCCCATCATTCTTATTATGGAATTATTTCAGTACATTTAAAGCTACCCATTTTTCATCTTATACTTTAAAAACATCAGGGAAGAACTGATAGGCCAACTTTATAATATTTTAAAATGATTCTGTGGTGTTTTGGAATATTACATGGCTATAAGAGTTTATGTATATTTAATACACTTATTAAAATATGCAGTAAGCCCATGGCTGATTTTCTCTAAGGACGTCTCAGTGCCGAGGTGGGACTTAAATGTTTAATACTAATAATAATACTCATAACTCATATTTCTCTAGTGCTTTTCATCTTTGGGATCTCTAAAGCCTGTGAGCACCACGTTGAGTGGATGCAGCTGGGCTCGCCAGCCGGCTGGTGGTGTCCACATCTGGCCTCCTGTCTCCCTCTGGGGGAGGGAGAGGGAGGACTCAAGCTAGAGGTCCAGCTTCCTCAGCCTACGTTGAATTTTCTCTTCCCAGATGCAAATTCCCTTCGGCCCCCTCTGAAAGCCTCCCACTGTGTACACCTGCCACTGATACTCACTGCATTAGAACAAGGAAGAAATGTGGCTTTCTGCTCCCGGGGTAGGGAAACCCATGCCGTTCTCTGGCTGGTCATAGACAGGACACAGAGCCTGAGACTGGATGGCTGGAGAGGGAAGCACATAGGGACAGTCTCCACTTGATAGCTAAATCCACCCTGTGCCCTCCTTCTCTAGGTCACAGAGACCAGGACGGGCCCTCTGGGCTGCAGCAACTACGACAATCTGGACTCCGTCAGCTCTGTCCTGGTACAGAGTCCGGAGAACAAAGTGCAGTTACTGGGTAAGCTGTACCGTGATGGGTGTCATGCTTTTCACACTGGGTGAAAAACTCAGACCACTAGGAGGAGAAAAAGCCCTCTGTGCCTCATTTGGCTAAACCCTTTTGTTTGTTTATTTTTGAGACAGAGAGACAGGTGCAGAGTGCAAGCAGGGGAGGAGCAGAGAGAGAGAGGGAGACACAGAATCCAAAGCAGGCTCCAGGCTCTGAGCTGTCTGCACAGAGCCCGAGACGGGGCTTGAACTCATGACTTGAGGTCATGACCTGAGCTGAAGTTGAACACTTAACCGACTGAGCCACCCAGGTGCCCCCCTGGCTAAACCCTTCTTAAGACAAGAGCTACCAGGAGCTCTGGGACTTGTATTTAACAACTTTCCCTCATTCTTTTGAGAAAACTTGTGACATGGTTTACCCTGCACCTGAGGCCATTGTTCACACCACTCAGCATCCAAACCCTCTCCCATTATGGTCCTCCTCAAGACCCAGTCACTGTCCTACAGCAGTAGCACAGACATCCTATCTACCTTGGTCTCTTGGGTGATCTCCTTTGTTGCCCAGAGAACGCTCTGCTTTGTCCCAAGGGCACATTGGGGGAACAGTTAGTCTTCGCAGATGGTTACGGGGCCATCATAGAGCTTTACACACTGTGGGACCACTGGCTACCCTGAGAGTGGTCCCTACTTTCTGTGATGGGCCTGTAATCATCCATGGGGATCAAAACCAGGAGAGCAGTTTGAGTGGAATGGGAGCCTCCCTTGGAGACAGAACTAGCTAAAACCCACGTGCCAACAGGAAGGCAACAGGACAGGTGAGGGGAGGTAAGGGGAGGTGCTTAGCTCCTGCCGTCTGCCCCTCACAAGCACCCTGGGGGCAGGGCTGTGCAAACTGATTCAGACAGAGCTGTTTGGCTGTCGGAAAAGTTCATTTTTCTTGAGGCCTAACTGAATTGGACTCTGTTTAAGATATTATTGTCTTGGTATTATAAAATCAATAGCCCTCACCCAGGATCTACGATTACAAATTCCGGGCAACCTGAGCCAGATGCAACCCATCAGTGCTTTTGGAATCAAGGAATATATAATAAAAAGGAGTAAAAGACTGCTTTATTTAGAGCCCCCTAATGCAATTAGCATCCCTCTTCTCCTGTGTCCCTAGATGGACTGGGCTTGTGTCTGGAAATTAGCGATGAGTGAAGTTCGGAATGTCTGGTGGTTCATTTGGAATAGTTTATGCCATTTAATTTTATAGCCCATCACTCATGCAGACATTGCTCGGGGCACTTATTTTATAGCAATGGGAAATGTTATGGGGAGGAGGAGGGAGGTAGTGGGGGAGGTGAAGAGAAAGGACTTGGATGGGTGTGTGCTGAAAGCAAGTGTATGGACAGGTTGTGTGGGGAGGGCCACTCTGGTGCCATGGTGGGCACTGTATCAAGAGAGGAAAATTTAGGAGCAGTTCAGATAGGTGGGGGATCTCAAACAGGAACAATGGACATCCACTGGCACTGCCGTGCTAAGTTCTGTTCTGAGGTCTACGGAGATGAGGATGCAAACTTTGGTCTCTCTGATTTCCTGCCAAGGACAAGGTCAAGGGTGTAGTGATAAAGAGCTGGCAGATCCATGAGGAAAGGGGAGCTCATCATATCTGGAAGTTCTCAATTCCCTCACTCTCCTGGCACAGTCCCTCTCTCAATGTCCCTACTCAGAGAGCCTCTGCAGATCTGACCTCGAACCTGGCCCAGGCTGCATGCAAAGGCATGCCTGTCCTTCATTCATCCCTTGACATGCTTCCAACAGCCACCATGTGTGGCTTGAAGCCAAACAGGGGCATATTCTGCTCCCGGTAAACTAATATCCACCACAGATGGATAGGGAAACTGAAGCTTGGAGCAATTTGGTGGATTATATCCAAGATCAAAAGAGCTAATTAGAAAAGAGAGCTGAGAGCCATTCCTACCTACCCAGGCTTAACTGAACTTTCAAATCTCCATAAGAGTTAAGCATATTGAGGCAGGGCAGCCAGTCCCAGTTATGCAGTATGACCTGATGGTAGCGGGGCAGGGTGTGACACCAAGCCAACTTGACAAGGACTGTAACTTGGGAGGTCACTGTGGTCGTTGGGCTTGGATTCTCAGTGTGGCCAGGGTGTTACCTGTGATCATATCTGGAAAGCACTTGGGGTGGTGCCTGACCACTGCTTACCAACACCACCTGTCCCTGCCTCCTGACCAGAGCAGGCTCCTCGGCCATCAGGGGGTGCGGTGGGACATCCCAGGAGGTCTGCTGCTTACCTCAGCGAGGCCAGAAACAGGATGGCTATGTGAAGCAGAGCAAAAAGCCCACCAAGCCTTGATTCCTCCCCCGTGAGGGCTGTAGCTCTTCTTTCATCTGAAACATCTTCCCGTTTCCACCCTAGAAATGCTGATGTGTAGCCAATAAGGCCATTCATATGATATGCACGCTCTCAATTTGGCTGATGTGAGGGGTTCTCCTAAGCCTTGGGCTTTGATGCTCCTCATCTGCATTTTCAGATCCTCTCCCACCTGTCACGCTGGCAGCGGTAAGCCCCTCACCCAGTCAGCTCCATAGGGTCAGGCCCTAGGGTGACCATTCATGGGCCCAGAATGCCCAAGTCAGCAGAACCCCAGCTGGGGATCCTGCGGCCTCGAGCGTGGGAAACAGGCCCCCCACTGGTTCTGCCCCACAGTTCCCTGACGCGTCCTTTCCCTAGGCCTGCAGGTGCTGCTGCCCGAGTACCTGCGCGAGCGCTTTGTGGCGGCGGCGCTCAGCTATATCACGTGCAGCTCTGAGGGTGAGCTCGTCTGCAAGGAGAATGACTGTTGGTGCAAATGCAGCCCCACCTTCCCAGAATGCAACTGTCCGGATGCTGACATCCAGGCCATGGAGGACAGCCTGCTGCAGATCCAGGACTCTTGGATGACTCACAACCGGCAGTTTGAGGAGTCAGGTGAGCAGTCGGCCGGCCCACGTTTCCTCCCTGTCAATGGGACGTGGCTGTGAGGCGCCGGACTAGAACGTGGGGAGCTCAGCTTGGGTCCCGGCTCATCCGCTGCCTGTGTCCATGGCCCCTAGCGGGGTAATCACCACCTCAAGTCTCAGGTGGTTGTCTTCTTATTGTCTGTGCAAATGGACGTGATCCCTACCACAGGGATGAGTCCTAAGGCGTTAATAAGCTAAGGTGGATATATTTGAGGGCATAGGACTTGCCTGGTCTGTTTGCTACAGATTTGCTACAGATCTCCTGCACAGAGGTACACAAGGAATATTTGCTGGGTAGAATGAAGTACATAGAATAGTTCTAGGAGGCACCCAGCACATGCTAGTTCTGGCTTGTTACAGTATAGCTAATATCAAGGTTATTTGAGATCTAGATTTAGGACTTGGTTCTGAATCCTTGCTCTGGGTTCTGGTTTGAATGTCTGTGTCCCTACCCCCACCCCCACCCCTCAAATTCATATGTTCAAAATATGATGCCCAAGGAGGTGAGGCCTTTGGGAGGTGACTAGGAATTAGTGCTTTTGTAATGGAGGCCCTAGAGAGATCCTTCTCCCCTTCCACCCCGTGAAGACACAGTAAGAGGTGAGCCACAAGCAACCCAGACGGGGTCTTCCCAGAACCTGAGTATGTTCGCATTCTGATCTTGGACGTCCAGCTTCTTGAACTGTGAGAAATAAATTTCTGTTGTTTACAAGCCACGTGGCCCATAGTAATTTCTGAGAGCAGCCCCAAAAGACTGAGACGCTGTGTTGCTGACCAGCTTTGTGACCTTGTGTGAGCCACACTGCTTCAGAGTGCCTCCATTCCTCATCTGTAAAAGAGGGAAAGTGATGATAATAGGTGGATGGAAGGTTCATATGGGTTAATGTACATAAAATTAATGTATAATTATCTCTGCCCGATACACTCATACAATTCAACACTAAATGAGAGATAGTTATGTGGATCGATTTTTCTCGGAAACATCATGTTGGGTAAAACAAAGTAAAAATGGAAAAGGTTATATATTATATATGTATTATGTGAATATAATACTACGATATAATATTATTAAATATAACACATATTTGATACTATTTATATGATGCTTAAAAACATACCAACCGGGTCGCCTGGGTGGCTCAGTCAGTTGAGCGTCTGACTTCAGCTCAAGTCATGATCTCACGGTTCATGGGTTCAAGCCCCACGTCGGGCTCTGTGCTTACAGCTAGCTCGGAGCCTGGAACCTATTTTGGATTCTGTGTCTCCCTCTCTCTTTCTGACCCTCCCCTGCTCATGCTGTCTCTCTCTCAGAAATAAATAAAACATTTAAAAAGACCATAACAACAAATACTTACTATTTTTACAGATAAATATATGCAGAAAACATTAAGAAATAGATAATGATAGGGGCGCCTGGGTGGCTCAGTCAGTTGAGCATCCAACTTCAGCTCAGGTCATGCTCTTACGGTTCGTGGGTTCGAGCCCCATGTCAGGCTCTGTGCTGACAGCTAGCTCAGAGCCTGGAGCCTGCTTCAGATTCTGTATTTCCCTCTCTCTCTGACCCTCCCCTGCTCACGCTGTCTCTCTCTCTCTCTCAGAAATAAATAAAAACATTAAAAAGTTTTTTTAATAAAATAAAAAAATTTTAAAAAGATGATAATGATAAAGAAAACATCTAGGAAAGTGGTTACATCGAGATGGAGATGGAGGGGAAGTTTAGGGTCATAAATTAGATATTTTCTATGCAGAATTTCTCTAAAACAAAACAAAAGACTGAAGTTAATATGGCTAAATCTAGTTGGTGGGCACATGGGAGTTTATCCCATTACTCCCTGTGCTCTTCTGTGAGCTTAAATGTTTATTAACAACATGCTAGTCGTTAATGTCATCACTAGGTATGATTCTCCAACCACTGGGAAGGGGAAGAGAGGTATGAAGAACCTGGTGCTAAAGAATGAGCTGAGGCCCCAGGCACTGACATTTCAAGTCCTAGTCAAAGGTAGTTAGTTGCTAAGGAGAACATTCCAGTCCCCCCAACACCAGCTGCACATGAGTTGTGATGGTGGGATGTGTTCAGTGATGCTTAATATGGCGCATGACACCAGGCACTTGCCACTGTGAGTACTGCTTGGCGAGTACATGAGGGCTGTGTGGACCCCATCAGGGGACAGTGGCTGCGGGTCCCAAGTAAAAGCAGATCTGATCATGAATTCAGCCCACATGTTGTGCTGAGGAAGCTCTGGGAAGAGCTCAGATGTGCAGTAGGCAACATGGACCGGAAAGCCTCTTGGTTCTGGATTAGCTACAGGAAAGAACGGGTATCTGGCCCAGAGTTGAAGCTTGAGAGAGACAAAGGGTATTCCAGAGTCAGAGAGAAGGATGTGGAGACAGGAGCGGCTGGTCTCAGGGAGTGGAAATTTCCTAAGAAGCTTTCTGAGCTGGGTGCTCATCTCCCTGGGTCCACATGTGCCAGCTGTGACTGCCTTCTGCCTTCCACAGGGTGTTGTGTTACTGAAGAAGACTGGCCTGGGACAGTGTTGTGAAGGACTTATAGGGAGTTATAAAGTGAGAAAGTGGTACATCTCAGTGTCACTGGCAAAAGCGGGACCGCTGCCCTGCTTGGGTCATGACAGAAATCTGCTTTGAAATTCAGAAGCATATTAGGGACAGGAAAGATGGAAAAGAATCCTAAAGCTATATTTTATGGTATGTTAATTATTTTCCAAATAAAGCAGTTTAAAAAGAAATTTGTAAAGGGGCCTGGGGGAATAGATGTGGAGCCACCTTCCTCAGGCAGTGACCCTGAGGCCCAGCTGGGTCTGGGGAGCACCCTCCCGCCCCTCCCAGCATCTGCATGATTTCCTCCCAGCTCAGCTCTGCGTCCTTATCCACAGAGGAATTCCAGGCCCTGCTGAAAAGGCTGCCCGAGGACAGGTTCCTGAACTCTACAGCCATCTCCCAGTTCTGGGCCATGGACACCAGCCTGCAGCACCGCTACCAGCAGCTGGGGGCCAGCCTCAAACTGCTATTCAAGAAGACCCACCGGATTGTCCGCCGGCTCTTCAACCTCTGTAAGCGCTGCCACCGGCAGCCTCGCTTCCGCCTGCCCAAGGAGAGGTGAGCACCTTCCCCTGAAGCTACTGAGGCCTGAGGGCGGCGGTGGGGAGGCCCATATGAGGCCTTTTATATTCTCTGCTCTCTTCACCTACTTGTGACTCGTGTCTGACATCAGAGAGAGCAAACAGAGGCTAATTTTACCTCTTATAAATTATAGTATATTCAAATGTTATTCTAATCATGCTCTAATTCTCACTCATTTCTATTTTAAGAAGTTCTTTTAGGAAACAAAGGGGTGGAGTAGAAGCTCACACACCAATTATATATGGTGAGAATATACACACATTGGATTGCTTCAAACAAGTGACTGGTTCTGAGTCACAAAAGGAAAGGAAGCTGAGCCCCTCCCTGACCCCCCGCCCTCAGGAGCAGAAGAGGGCTGTACCATCATAGGCACTCACTCTACCATCATAGGCACTCACTCCTCCATCCACTTGCACACTCATTTATCCAACAAGTACACACTGCGTAGCCTAATGTTAAGCAGTGGGTGTGTGTGTGGGGGGGTATTTGTTCATTGGGAAGATATAATATACAGAAACATAAAAACTATAAAATGATAACTGTGTGACAGCCACTTAAGTTCACATTCGTGGAACATAAATCAGAGGCATGGTCTAGTAAAAGCGAAAGCCAGAGAGAGAAGCTACCTTGGAGAAGGAAGTTTCGGCCAGATTGTGTGGCAGGAGATGGAAATGGTGCGTTGAGATGGACCCCTACAGGGCACGGAAGCGGCCTTGCAATCCAGAGGTTGCTCTCATGCAGGCACCTGTAAGAAGGGAAGCATGAGTGGAGAGCTCAGACCAGCAAAGGCTTTTGAGATGGGTTCTTTTTTTTTTTTCCCCCAAGAAATCACTATTAAATGCTTACCAAGCACCAGGAATAGTCCTGGTTTCTCAGAACATGTTGGTGAATAACGCAGTATGTCTGCTCTCCTGGCATTTGCGGAGAAGCCATCTGTGAACAGGGGAACAATAATAATTTTCAATCCTGATCCTTGCTGTGGATTATATAAAAACAGGCTGATGTGATAGAGAGCAACCCAGTGGGCTTTCCGAACAGGGTGTCACGTAAGACCTCTCTGAGGAGATAGCGTAGGAGCTGAAATATAAATCTAAAGAGGGAGCCAGCCATAGAAAATTCCTCTTCTGGGTGGAAGAGCGACAGAAGCAGTGGGAACAGGGAGGACAGGGACAGTAAGTGGGAAGGCAATGGGTGGGACGTCGGGAAGTCTGGAGAGCCAGGGAATGGGCGGTCTTATTTAAAAGGCTGAAAACGATGTTCGACGTTTTGGTCCAGAGGGCACGGAAGGTCTTCTGTAGGCTTCTGAATAAGCGAAGGAGGTGGTACTTGGGACAGATGAGCCTGGCTGCTTCCAGTACAAGTCTGATGTCAAGTATTTCTGGTGCTGATCCATCAGACGCTGAGCTCCAGGCCTTACTCGATCATTCCAAAGTGGTGCAGTAGGGTTTCCATCATGCAGAGAACTCGGGGCTTTTATCTTTCTCATTACCTTCCCTGCCTATTAGTCAATCTCCTCCTACCCTCAGGGGAGACGGCAGTGTGTGGCTTCGTAGGACTCTTTATTCATTCTTACCTCCCTTCCCAAGGTCCTTGCCCTACTGGTGGAACCGAATCCAGTCCCTCCTCTACTGTGGAGAAAGCACCTTACCCGGCACCTTCCTGGAGCAGAGCCACAGCTGCACCTGCCCCTACGACCAGTCTTCCTGCCAGGGCCCCATCCCCTGTGCCTTGGGCGAAGGGCCCGCCTGTGCGCACTGTGCTCCCGACAACAGCACGCGCTGTGGGGGCTGTAACGCAGGCTACGTGCTGGCCCAGGGGTTGTGCCGGCCAGAGGTGGCCGAGTCCCTGGAGAACTTTCTGGGGCTGGAGACGGACCTGCAGGACCTGGAGCTGAAGTACCTGCTGCAGAAGCGGGACAGCCGCATCGAGGTGCATTCCATCTTCATCAGCAACGACATGCGCCTGGGCAGCTGGTTCGACCCTTCGTGGAGGAAACGCATGCTGCTCACGCTGAAGAGTAACAAGTACAAGCCCGGGCTGGTGCACGTGATGCTGGCCTTGTCCCTGCAGATCTGCCTCACCAAGAACAGCACCCTGGAGCCTGTCATGGCCATCTACGTCAACCCGTTTGGGGGCAGCCACTCTGAGAGCTGGTTCATGCCCGTGAACGAGGGCAGCTTCCCCGACTGGGAAAGGACTAACGTGGATGCAGCTGCCCAGTGCCAAAACTGGACTATCACCCTGGGGAACAGGTGGAAGACCTTCTTTGAGACAGTCCATGTTTACCTACGGAGCCGAATCAAGTCCCTGGATGACAGCTCCAATGAGACAATCTACTATGAGCCCCTGGAGATGACTGATCCCTCCAAGAACTTGGGCTACATGAAAATCAACACCTTGCAGGTCTTTGGCTACAGCCTCCCCTTTGACCCAGATGCCATCCGGGACTTAATTCTCCAGTTAGACTACCCGTACACTCAAGGGTCCCAGGACTCTGCCCTCTTGCAGCTCATAGAGCTTAGGGACCGGGTAAACCAGCTCTCTCCCCCCGGCAAAGTCCGGCTTGACCTTTTCTCCTGCTTGCTCCGGCATCGGCTCAAGCTGGCCAACAATGAGGTGGGCAGAATCCAATCCTCCCTGAGGGCTTTCAATTCCAAGCTGCCAAACCCTGTGGAGTATGAGACAGGCAAACTCTGTAGCTAATGGGGGCCCCACTCCAGTGCTGGGCAGGGAGGTGATCCACGAATCCAGGGTGCAACGATCATCCAAGCCCTCACCTTAGTGCCAACAGGGTTCTCCCTTGAGACTTTCTGCACCCAGCCGACAGGACCTCAGGGCTTGGACTGAAGTAGGCAGGAGAGAAACGAACCATCACTGCACATGTGCACACACTCACCACGTGCGTGCCCGTGCATGCACCCACACCCACACACACACACCCTCTCTTGCTCACACAGGGAGGCTACAATGCAGCAGCCTCGAATCTCTCAGTAAAGTCGGTGCTTTCAAATGAATGCAGTTGAAGGAGAGGAGCCAAGGGAGAGATTAAGAAAAAGAACCAGCGAAACCATGAAAAATCAATGCTTAAAAAGTGATTCTGACCATTCAAGAAAGCAAGAGGGGGTGCAGGGGGGAGGAACAGGAGCAGCTCCCCCTCCCCCACCATCGAGTCACTTTTGTATTCTTTTTAACCAGGTTTCTTAAAATGGCGTTTCGTGATCCCCCCCACGTTGGTTCTTAACTTTTTGTAAGCTGCCTCCTCTGTGCCCTCCCAGACCCTGACTGCTTCTCCAGCCGGCTCCCCTGAGACACTCAAGGTGACACCAACAGAGGACCATACGGGCAGGCAGGCTTGCTCTGCTCCCTACTGCCCCCTCCCTCCGGCCCCCTTGCTTCCTCAGCCCCCCTACTTTGTTCCACATTCCCCTCATGGTCCAGCTGGAACTCCTCTTCCAATGCCACCTGTCCTGTCCACGAAAGCAGCTCTGTCAAGTTAGCAAGAGACAATGTATAGGGAAATGTTCTTTTCTAAAAACAAAACAAAAATATTTATTTTGTGATTGTTTTCTTTGTCAATCTGCTCCAGCCACATGAACGTATGAGTAAAAGTTGACCTGGTTTAATATATTTTCTTAAAAGGCCTTTTTTAGGGGAAAACAGAGAGATGAAAGAGAATGAGAAGATTATGGTTTCCTGGGTGGCCTGGATTCTATTTTTAAACATTGCTCTGTGTGATACATGGGGACCCCTGGATGGCAGGGGTTGCTGTGGGGGAGGAGGGTTCATAAGTGTGTGTTTTCACAAGCAGGTGTGCGTCTGGCTTGACTGGGGTGCGTGTGGCAGGGGTTGGTAAGTAAGTGAAGACTGGAGTGAGGCAAAAGTCTCCCCGAGTTACCTGACTACCCTGCCCCCTTTTCCCAGACAGGAGAACTAACACAAGTCCTACAGCAGGACTCCTGACTATCAGAGGGGTGATGAGGAGGTCCCTGCTCACAAGGGGAGCTGCAGCCTTTGCGCTGGCCAGATGCCTGCTGGGCGTGGGTAGGGTGGCCCTCTTTGCTGACACTGCTGTGGGCATCAGGAGGGTTTCCCATACTCTGCATCTTCTAGTCCGTGACTGCCCTTTGAGGAAACGGGGAAGGATGCCAACGTGGCATTGATTTGCTCTGTCCTGTCTGATTACCACTTTCCCAGACTAAAAAGCAGGGTGGATGCACGCTGCACAGAATAAGGCATCGTTCTCCCCAGAGTGCCTCCCCCGGGGGATCTGAGAAGCATTTCACAGCACATCTCTTGGAGAACCACTTCCTGTCTATTCTCCACAGGTTCCAATTTCTTCAGGCGAAAGGCACCACATAAATACTAAGTACTCCATTCCGTACGTGGGCTATAGCTCAGCTGGTACAAAACGAACTGAGAGACAGAAAAGAATGGTCGTGTCTATGCACCCAAGAGCCTTCAACGTTCATTTTTGCATAGAGAAGAATTCAGCATTATATTTAATCACCGCACCCTATTTCAATCCACAAGGACCCCAAATCCTTGGGAGATAAACAGCCCCCAGCTTCTCTCTGCAAAGTTCCCCTGAGGCTTCTAGGGCAGAAATCCAGAGTGATGGGATAATCTAGGGGCTGAACATGGGTACTGGAGATTTCTACTCAGCCACTGCTTGCTTTGAGGAGTTTGTGTCAAGCCACTCGTCTGTAGAAGATGGCACCAGCAGCAGATGTCCTCTTCATCAGTGGTGTACTGATGCGCCAGAGGAGTATGTGTGGGTTGGGAAGGGGCTGCAAGTGGTAGGAAGGCGCTGACACTTCCAGTGACAGGGTTTGAGAGGTGTCGGAGCCTAGAGTCTGATTTCAGCACTAAGTGTGCATGTCTCCACAGTAGGACTTGGTGGGCACCTGCTTTCACCCAGGAGGAAACGGCACACCACATGCAGCAATATTCAGAGCAAGGAGGAAAGCAATTGGGAATGCGCTATGCACAGAGTTAGCAGTGAGCACCTTCAGTAGCATGACGGTAATTGCCCCAGTGAGAACTGAGTCAGTACACTGAGGGCTCATGTCTTGCCTGGGTCAGTCCCATAGCTGAGGGGTGGGAAACCATAGCTAGTCAGTCTCTGAATCAGACCAGACTAGGGAGAACGCATGCCTACACAGTGATTAGAGGGATGTTGTCTCTCCTTATCTTAGGAAGGTTCTGGAAAGATGACGGTGTGACATATTCAGGTTTTAGAAACAGATGCACCCAGTTACAAAGACTTCCACTTCTTGCCTGCTTGAAGGTTTAAACCATGAGGCTGCGTGTATCAACTCCACTTAAAAGTACTATTACACATTGGTAAATATTTAGGAGTGCCCTTCTGAGCCCAGATGCAAGTACCATATTGATAGAAGGCCTAAAAGACATTATTAATTAATCACAGTAGAAGAAGTGTTTATATTTGACCTACTCATCTGTTCTCTGTGATGGATGCTTGACTCCTGTGAGACAGTGATGGGTGTCTGGTGTACCAGAGCTTGCATCAAAGCAACAGACCAAAGATTTTGCTTCTAAAAAGCAGGTGGAAGACAGTGGGGGTGGGGGGTGGTAAAGGACAAGATTCCTTAAGAGATTTTTAAAGGCGTGAAACCACAAACTCAGCACTTTCTAAGAAGTTCTTAGAAAGCTAGGCTGAGAAATGCTGTAATACAAAAAGGCTGTCCCCAGTCAAAACTGTCTCCTTGAAAGTCTACAATAATCAGAAGATGTGAACAACCTATTCTTATACACAGTTGAAAATAAAGAATTGTCATTAATTAATTAGTCCTGGGCTATCTGTCAATGTTGGTGAACTGAATGTAGAATTAAGAGACAAACCTCAATTTGGTTATTGGATATAACAATCAGGAATCCAAGCCTTAATTGTAACCCCAAATAACTAATACATCAAATGCTAATCTGCCCTAATGCTCGAGACTAATACCTCTAATACTAAATAACATATTTAATACCCCATGCTAATAATATAATGCTGAGCTCTGCAAGCATATTCATGCATCCACAGCCAAAAAAATAAATGAAGATCTCTTCAAATACAGGGCATCACAAATAGTTCAGACCTCATTCTTGGCTTCTTTTCACAAATCTGCAAATAGTGGTCATGATGGGGAGAGCTGCCTTATGAGTAGATGGAATATATTGCCTACATAATGTGCCCCCAAATATCACCTTCAAAGCCTGTAATTTCATCATGTAAGTCTGTTCTCTTGTATATAAGAGTGAAATTTCTTTGCTATTGTATCTTTTATGAAAATTAAAATGCCCTTAGGAAGAAATAAGTCTTAGAAGTTAACCCACTGGCAAAATAGAGGATTAGATTTTAGGAGCTGGAAGGTTTTTCGAGGTCATCCAGTCTACCCATTTCTGACATGAGGGAGAAGAGGTTAGAGAACTTGCCTGAGGTCATATATATCAGAAGGGGAGGAAGAGCAGTCTTTCGTCTCTACCTCTCCCTGTCAGTAAATGATATCTGGGTTCTAGGAGATGACAGGGACCCAGTTTCAGGGCTTGGGAGTTTAAGGGTAGGGAAAGGAAGATACGTTTCTGGGAAGGAGAAGAGGACTTCCCGGAGGTAGGAGAATCTTCACATCTTTTCCTAGGAGTGGTTCTAACGAAAGTAATTGGCTGCTGTAATGAGTGAAAGGAAAAGACTTAAGTCTCTCCCCTAGAAGTTTAAGCATGGGGTAGACATAATCTATCTAAGGCTGGAGATAGAGGGATCAATTTGCTGGTTTCCTGATAACCCTATCAGCTCAGTGATTTTCAATTATAGCATCCTGCCTATAGAAAGAGAAAACCAATTTCTTGCTGTTTTCTCTACCATCAGTTTGAGTTTGAATACCATTACAAATCTGATAAGTTCTGCAAAGCATCTTTGCTGTGAAGAGTAGAGATGTCTGGGTACCAACAACATACAAAGGCTCTAGGCTGTGTCGTCACTATGGTAAGTATATGACCTAGGTCTAGGGCCACGGCAGAGAACAGTAATGAGGCAACACTGTGCTGTGGACTAAGATTTCTTGTTTCATCCGGCAGCAGAGCAAGAATATAGACCAAAGGAGCCACTGAGAGACAACTGGCCTGTGCCCCTGGCCTGGAAGGGTAGGTTGAGAATTCAGGTTCTGTGACTGGCTATAGATACCTCCCCTTTTCTGGCTTCTTATTCTGCTTCTGCCACCAGCCATCTCTGTAATTGTCAGCATGTCATTCCACTTTCTTACACAGATACTAGGGGTCTTACTGGTTGCTATTCCTTCATGCTGCTGCAGGCAGTGCAGCACAGGAGACAGTGTAGGCCAGGAAGACAGACAGACCTGAACTTACACGTGGGCCCCACACTTACATTTAAGTGATCTTAATTCTTGACTTATCCCCTTATCTGTAACCCAAATAGTTCATCCCCTAAGATTTTCCTAAGATTTTTCTTTCCTTTCTCTTTCTGGACACTCTCCTTTTTACATAATTTTGCCTGATCCTCTCCAGCCTTCAGAATACATATATACCTTCAATTCCCTAAAACTAAATCCCATTTCCTTCCTCTTTCCCTTCTTCCTTCTCTCTTTCCTTTCTTTCCTCCCTCCCTCCCTCTCTCCCTCCCTCCCTTCCTTCCTTCTCTCCCTTCCTTTCCTCCCATCCTCCCTCCCTCCCTCCTTTTCCTTCCTTCCTTCCTTCCTTCTTTCCTTCCTTCCTTCCTTCCTTCCTTCCTTCCTTCCTTCCTTCCTTCCTTCCTTCCTTCCTTCCTTCCTTCCTTCCTTCCTTCCTTCCTTCCTTCCTTCCTCCCTCCCTCCCTCCCTCCCTCCCTCCCTTCCTTCCAATTCTTCCCCCCTCCCTTCTTCCTTTCCTCCCTTCCTTCTTGTGGTAAGTGCTAGGCTCTAGGATAGGTGCGGAATAGTCAATACCTCTACGTGTTTCTGGGCCACGTAGAATTATAGAATTGAATGTGGGGGGTGGAGATGCACAAACAATTCAGAGTGGTGCATTCTCTAGCAGAGATGTACAAAGCACTGATGGCATACAGAGGAGAAAATTACTCCCCGGGAGACACTAATGACATCTGTTGTGAACCCTCTCATCACTATGGAAGCAATACCCCGGGTCTCTGGACGTTTCACACGTCATTGGAGAGAAAGACCTCACGTACGTTGTGTGGGCCCTGTCTCAGTAGAAAGGAGCCATGGCAGCAGCAGAGCCCCACCCACACCCCAAAGGTGCCCTAATTTGTGACTGCTGAGCCCCACATCAGCTCCACATCAGTCCCTTCCTGTTCTGTTCCAGGCGCACTCCACAGGCAGCCAGGTGTGTTTGGTAGAATTGCTGCTGCGAGCCTTGAGGGCGCGGTGACCTGAAACCACTGCTTCTACAACTTGAACGCGCACAGGATTCACCTGCAGATTCTGACTTGGCAGGCCTGAGTGAGGCCCCAGATTCTGCACATCTAACAGCTCCCAGGTGATGTGTGCTCCAAAGACCACACTTAGAGGAGAAAGCTCCTAGAGAGTGTGTCTGTCGTCCTCAGCACTTGGGATTCTAACACGGGGGTCTACCAGGAACTACAGGGGCTAAGAAACCAAAAGGTCCATAAT